GGCCTGTCTTTGGGTGGAGTGGAAAAAACAAAAAGAAATAAAATGTATCCCCTGAGATGCCAAACCACATATTCACCCACAGGCAGATCTGGTGCCAGAATTTATTCTGCCAGTATATTCTAAAAACCTAGTTAAAGTAGTCATGGGCAGTATTGCCCCAAGGCATCTGGCAGAAATGAAAGTAAATCTCCAAAGGAACACGCTTTAAACTATCAAAGAATTTCTCAGATAAAGTTCCTAGGAACTTAGGCTCACAGTAGGAACATGGGCTCACAATAGAGAAAAAAATCACAAAACACACAAGGCAGCATACCAACATGAGCAGCAGCCACCCAAAAACAGAAAGCAGAATCAAACTCATGAAGACTGCAGACTTTGGAACAACCAAACACACAATATAATATATTGATGACGTTTAAAGACATAAAAGAGAGTACTGACAGTATGACTAGGGAAAAAGAGAGTATCAAAATTGATCTTGCAGATTTGAAAAGTAGAACTTTTATAAATGGAGAATAAAAGAATTAAATTTGAAATTCAAAGGACAAATTAAACATCAGAATATTTACACAGATGTAGGGAGAGTGGTGAGCTGAAAGATAAAGCAGAAGAAATTACACAGAATCTAGCGGAGAGAGACAGAAATGGAAAATATTAAAAAGAGATCAAGATATATGACTACAGAATGAGAATACCTGTCGTTTCTCTAATTAGAGCTCCATGAAGACAGAATAGAGAGAATGGGGAGAACTAATGGCTGAACAATTTCCAAAATTAATGACAAAATGAGTCTTCAGATTCAGAAAACCCAATGAAGTCAAAGAAGGTAAACAAGAAGAAACTCAAACATCAAGATATCGAAGTAAAACTGCAGAACACCAAAGGCAAAGAGAAAACAATAGAAATATCCAGATATAAAAGAAAAGTTACCTGCAAAAGACCTGCAATCGAATTGAGTTAACTTCTCAACAGCGTCACTAAAAGCTAGCCTGCAATGAAATAATTTCTTTAAAGTGCTGAGAGAGAGTATTTTCAGTGTATTCTTACATACCAAGGATCTGTCTTTCAAAAATAAGGATTAAAAAAGACATTTTTAGAAAAACAAAACTGAGAGAGTTGACCTTCAGCAGAACCCCATTAAAGAACTTCAAAAGAAGTACTTTGGGAAAAGGAAAATGACCCTGGAGCGAAGATGTGAAATCTACAAAGGAAGCTTTGGATAAATATAAACACACAAAAAACTGAAGAAGCAAATCCTGAACAACAAAAGCATATAAAATCCAAGTTAAAATAATTTAAGTTTCTTATGTAGGACAAGAATAAAGATAGTAACCTTTGACTTTAATATGCACGATTAAATTTATGGGTGATCCCTAAAAACAGACTTAACTGTATAACTTCCAAACTAGTAAAAGGGGAAGAATGAAATAAGGGGTAAAAGTAGTTTAATAAAAAAGAAGGCAACATTTTAAAAACAAGCANTTAATCCCTAAAAACAGAGTTAACTGTATAACTTCCAAACTAGTAAAAGGGGAAGAATGAAATAAGGGGTAAAAGTAGTTTAATAAAAAAGAAGGCAACATTTTAAAAACAAGCAAAGAAATTTTGAAAAAGTGGAACAAAGAGGAAGCAGAAAATAAACTTTAAGGTTAAAGCATTTTTAAGTGAAAGAAATTCATAACCAAAGGACAAATATTGTATGATTCCACTTACATAAGGTATCTAGAATAGTCAAATTCATGGAGACAGAAATAGAATGGTGGTTGGCAGGCACTAAGGAGGAGGGGAGAGTGAGGGGTTAGAGTTTAATGGGCACAGGGTATCAGTTTGGAAAATAAAGTTCTAGATATGGATGGTGGTGATGGTTGCCGGACAATGTGAATGTTCTTGATGCCAGAAAACTGTAAACTTAAAAATAAGTTAAAATGGCAAATTTTGTTTATGTATATTTTACCATGATTTTTTAAAAAATACAAAGACAAAAAAACTTTTGTGCCAACACCCCAGGAATAGTTTGCCACTGTTCCTGGGGTGTTGATAGAATAATCAATCTTAATACTTTGAGAGAGTCAGTGCTCTTGTCCCTTTCTAAAATACTATGAATGCCTTACGTTTGTGTAGCACTTTATATTTGAAGAAACGCTTTTATGTGTCCTAACCTATTTAATCCTCATGACAGGCTTATAAGGTAAATTGTAATACTCCCTTTTAATTCATGGAAGAAACAAAGCCAGAGAGATTAAATTGTCTAAGACCACAGAGATATTAAGAATGCAAAGGTCCAGCCAGCCGGGCATGGCTCAGCATCGACCTAGGATCCAGGGGATAGAGGTTCGATTCCCGGTCACGGCAAATGCCCAGGTGGCGGGTTTGATCTCCAGCCGGGGGCCTGCAGGAAGCAGCTGATCAATGACTCTTTCTTATCACTGACTTCTCTCTCTCTCCCTCTCCCTCTCCCTCTCCCTCTCCCTCTCCCTCTCTCTCCCTCTCTCTTCTTCTTCTGAAATCAATAAGGATATATTTTTTAAAAAAAGAATGCAAGGTTCCAAATACCTACTGGCTAAAGCCATTGATCTCCCAACATACAGAAATAGTTGTCAACTTACTATGAACTGTACATTTAAAATGCCAGAAGCAAAGTGCTATGCTTGTTAAACTGAATAAAGAAAAAGATAACATCGTTACCTTCTCAGTGACCAAGGAATAATGATTATGCTGAATTTACGCTCTGAATCCTATTAACATATTTGTGGCTTTTTTTAATGCTCTATTTCCAGACCTTGGTCACGTTTAAACTCTGGTTGGCTATTTGTGTTTTTGAACTTTTACTTCTAAAAATACCCTTTAATATGGGGAATGGAGGAGCTTCCCCTTAAAACTTACTGTTTTAGGTTGCAGCTCTTCAATTTTTAATCTAAGTTCTCAAAAAAATTGTGTCTGATTCCAATAAAAACAAGTAGCCAGGTTGTTCTCTCATTGTTATGCAAGGGCTGCTTCATTTTGGGTCTTAAATTTCCTTTTTTATTGGTCTCCTTGGAGTGGATGGCTAATGTTAATGAGAGAAACCTGGCGACGCACCATCACCGCCCTTCGTAATTTTATGAGCTCCCCCTAGAACAAATGGCTGGGTCAGTGCAACCTCTGGTTTTTCAGCACGCAGCTAGCATTCATTTCCCTCTGAAGCCTGCCACAGATAAGGCAACTCAGAACCCCAACTCTCTCGCTGCAGAATGCTGACCCAGCAGCTTTCGCTGTCTCTGGGAAGATTTGGTACCTCGCGGAAGAGCGGCGGCATTGACACCCCCTTGCTGTGAACAAGCCCCCCTGAATTTATTATCTGATACCATAAATAACTCCCTGCGGCAAATTCGGTGAAAGAATTTGAGATTTTGCACCGCTTGGTCCAGCCCTCTGTGTAGTACCTGTGCAGTCTACCTGATAGGTTAAACCTTGAGCATCCAAAGAGATGGTCCCTCTGTTTCCTCTTTTAAGCAATTCCAGTCACTGTGGGGTGAAAACAGTGGCCGATCCCCTTACCATTGCATTCACCGCTCATATTCTGGAGTCCAGTCTCCCACCTCATACATGTAAAAATGTTTGGAAGCATTTACTTTATTTTAAAATGCTTATAGCATTTTGGGATGCTTCTTCCTCGTGTTTCTGCGTAAAATGTATCATACAGGACCCTCTGAGTAGAAAGCAATGGAAAAATGAAGTGCTTTTACAAAAAGTAATTCACACTTACCATTTGGGCAACACCTTAGGAACTTTCCCCTGGTTATGTATCTGATTTATTGTTTCTGTTCCCATAATTTACATTTATGAAGCACCTACTCTGTGCCAGAAACTGGTGAGCACTTCACATGCATTATGTGTTTAATCCACACGAGAGACCTCACATTCTGATTTTACATAAAACAATACAAAACCCAAAAAACCTTGAAGTGTAAAGAAGTTAAGTGGGCACATAACAAGTGGCTTATGCTGCTCAACTCTCTGTGTAAAATTGTACAAACCTGCCTCACATAGATCATTGCCTTTAGAATCCCAAATTAAAGAATTTTCAGAATCAGGCTTGACAAGCTTTAATATTCTCTCGGCAGTAGGGAGCACCAACTTTCATATTATTATTTCATGCATTTCGGGTCTATTATTATTTCCCCTCAGCTTTCTCCTCGGCATGAGATTTAAACAAATAAGAATAGCAGCAAATTCTTGTTAACATTCCTTCCAAGTCTGTATTTTCTAAATGCCTCAGTCCCTTTGCTTTCAACTTCGAACTTTATTTGATTTTCCGATACTCTACGAAAGAGTGAAAGATACGAAGCAGACACTCATTATTTGTAATTGTGAAATATAGCCAAAAAAATTCAATGGCAAGCAAAAGTGGAAAGTAGCTCCATGTTATAAATGAGGCACACTTTTATTTTTAATGCTACTTAAAAGATAAAGGAGAATATTATAAGGTCAAGCCTGTTTTTAGAGAGAAGCTTGCTTTTTTAAAAAAGTGCTAAAGGTATTTTTTCTAGCATTTAATAATTTCAACAACACACTTTGTAATCCATTTAACAAAAAATGAATAAGTATTTTTTGAACACCTACTTTGTTCTTAGACTTTAAGGAGAGCATAGGCTCTGTATAAGAAATGGCTCCTGCCCCAAAGAGTTTATAATTTAGCAGATGAGAAAGGATGAACATAGCAATACATTTACTTATACCCAAGGCAATACGTATTAGGTGCCCTTCCTTCCCCTTCCCATTCTTTAGCAAGACCCAAACATTTATTCTTTAAAATACATCATGAAATTCTCCTCCTCTTCAGAGAAGCGTGATTTTGAATTTCAGAAATAGCCTAGTGTTATGCTTCCAAGGTTAGAATCTGGTTTCCCTCCACGTATTGTTTGGTTATTGTAATCAATTCTTAAATCTGGATTGAAGTGCTGAGATACCCTTTCCACGTTATCACTTTAAGATGTGTATCTATGTTCCTCTTGCACTAGTGTCATCAGAAATCGGGCCCTCGCTTGCCATTCACACTACTGTCCCCTTTGGAGTTACATACTTGGAACACAGCATGGAGGATGTACAGGAGTTAATCTTCCAGCAGCTGGAAAACGTCTTACCAGGTTTGCCTCAGCCGATTGCTACCAAATGCCAGAAGTGGAAACATTCACAGGTAATCACTGAACTCAGTAGTATGAGCACAATTTCCCCAACAGGTCAGCAGACTGACTTGACTTTTTCTCACCCTTTGTGTAACGTGTAAGCGTAAACTTCTACAGCTTTTATTATCCCGTTACTGCTCAATAAGAGATGCATACAATTTTTCCCCAATCTAATGTTCAGATTTTAGCATCTCAAGACACACACCCTGAAAATCTAGGGTTTCCTATGCAAGCAAAGCAAGTTATATATCAAAATGCAGCTGTTTCCCTGGGGTTTTTCTAAATCAGTACTGTGGTTATATAGAAACCACTATAACCTCCCAAATTTTTGCAATACATCAAATTAACCTCGTAAGTGTATTTTGCTACCACAGTTTTCATTTTTATTAAGTTCCCACTTTGGTTTTGACTGCTGCCAGCAGAGCTCTTTGCGGGAGAAAGATGAATACGTGCATAGATCAGCTAGTTAGGCTGGCTTTCAGGGGTAGATAAACCTGCTGACCTCAGGACTAGTTCAAACTGAAAGCTCTTGAACACTAAGTAGATGTTGACTTTTCTGAAAGTCTGTGCGTATTTCAGTAGAAGTTTGTTGAGTGTTCCTAGAAAAAGCCTTTTGATCTACAAACTCCATTGTGAAGTTATTTAGGGACAGTGGAGCAAAGGGCAGGAGGGGGAAAGACACAGCAAGTCGTCTATTTGTTCCTTAGATTTCTGAACTCATGGATGAACTGATTTATCAGCACTATTGGTTATCTAAGCTGTGAAGACTTTAGAAAGAGTGGTGTTGTGAGACATCGCAGCAGATTTTGTATATTTTAAAGGGCTTTCCAAAACGAAAGGAAATGGGAGATTGTAAATGACTTCCTAAAATTGCTGCAGGTCTATGTGTTTACCCACATCTTCTCAAGTTAAACTATACAGTGAACCTTTGGGAAAAATATTTACTTAAACATGTCATGGTCACGTTAGAAGACTACCTTTTCCTTTTAAAAGCTTTGAAAAATCTCAACAGTTAATGTCTTTAAGTGATTTTTAATTCAATTTTAGGTTGACTTGAAAAAGAAATCAGAGAAATAATCTGATATAATCTGAAGCTAGATATATTACACAGCAAGTTGCTTTGCAATTGATAAATATTCCTTTAAAGAAAGAATGATTTATTAGTTTCTTCCTGTGACTTCCTTTAAATAATTTATTAATAAACTGAAAATATGGGTTAAAATCTACTTATTTCTTAAAATTTAATGTGTTGTAGAAATAGATTGGACCTTACCACAAAAATGGTCTATTCAAAGTTATACAATATCACAAGATTTAATAAAAAATGTTTGAACACAAAGTGCATCCAAACCCTAGAAATGCTTTTATTACAGTTTGGATGTTCTCTCCTGAAGTTATTGCAGTACATTTACAGCTCTGTAGTCATGAAATCTACATTGGCTGCAAAGCCTGAAAGGGAATAAGTTGTCATTCAAGCTTAGAAGTTTGCATTTTCCACTATTCATATTCTTCTCGTGGTGCCCTGAGCAGCATTCTACAGAATATAGGGTTGTCATTGATGGTAGAGATCTTACCTACATTGTGCGATGATAGATAGATAGATGACAGATGACAGATAGATAGAGATAGTCTCTCACATCACCTTAGAAAAAGAAGTAATGACAGGTTCAGAGACTTAATAGCATTTTACTGTTAGCTTTCAATTATTATTCCCAAGAGAATATTTCTTCAATGTTTTCAAAAGGTCCAACTTAACCTTTGAAATGTGACATAAATATGTGCACCCCTCTTCCCTTGCCATCCATAACACACGAGCTCCCTTTGATAACTCATAAATGTTTGTGTAGGAATATGGTCTAATATGGTGCTTAAACGGAAGGGAAGGATGGTGTAGAAACAAAGGCAAAAAAAAAAAAGAGGAACAAACTACTGATTTTGACGTTTTTCTCATTTCTGATTAGCAGTACCGTCCCCTTGCAGGGGAAATTCCACCCATATTTTTTCCAGCCTGGGTCCCACCCTGTGTTCCCTTCCTTTTCCGCCTCCCCTGTCCTGCTCCACCCAAATTGTCTTCTATTTTTTTACGCTCTGCCCCTTCCTTTCTTCTCTCTGTGACCTTCAAACCCTCATTTTATCTACATTCATTTTCCTTTTTTTTTTTTTGAGAACCCTGCCCTGTGTCCTGGCACCCAGTGACTGTGAAGGGTGGGAAGGAGAGAGTGGGAGAGAGCAGTGATGAGCATCCACAGTGCCGCAGGCCGGGACCTGGGCCATTCTAAGGTGTGATTTCACTTACTATCAAAAGTGGCCTTAGAGGTTGGTTCTGACCCACTACCCCACTGGGAAAAACAAAGCCTAGAAAACACGAAATAAATTCCCCAAGGTCCGTTGGCTAGTTATCACAAAACCAGTCCACCTGCCTCTTGAGTCCTTCACCCCTTTTCACTGGCCTTCTGTTTCCTCTTCACTGACCCTGTTTCTTATTACCACAAGTTCAGTAGCTTAAAACAACATAAATTTATTAGCTTACAATTCTGGAGTTCAAGATGGGTCTCACTAAAATCAAGGTGACAGCAAGGCTGTGCTTCTTTCTGTGTCAGTTCTAGGAGAGAATCCATGTTCTTACCTTTTACAAAGCTGCCCACATTCCTTGGCTTGTGGTCCCTTCCACCACCTTCAGAGCCAGCAACAGCGGGTCAAGTCGTTTTCATATTACATCACTCTGACCTGTCCTCCTCCCTCACTTGTTCCTTAAGGACTCTTGCAATTGCATTGGGTTCACCTGGATAATCTAGGATACTCTCCCCATTATTCTTTATGAGGCAGAATCTCCTGCTCCCTTCAAAAAACCTCTGGGGAGAGCAGCAGTCCTTTAAGGCTCAAGCCATGCAAAGGAAGTGCCTGCTGTCTGCAAAAAGTAAGGGAGTGTTGTGTGGGAGAGGCAGTTTCTTGTTCCCTATGTTGCTCTCTCATTCCCAGGGCTGCCTCCAATGTCACACACCACATTGGCAGCAGGAAGGTGAAAGATATTCCATTTGTTCATTTGGCTACTCATTTATTCAATAAGCATGTAACAAATGCCTGTGACATGGCTAGTACTCTGCCCATAGAACCCTAGAGGCTGCTGTTTGCCCAAGGCCTCTCCTAAGACATTAAATTGAATTTTTTGCCATGGGTAAAATAACGGTGCATTCTTGTGGGTCCTGCTCCTACAGGAGGAAAGAAGCAGATGAAGAGGTGTGTCTGAAAGACTTGGGAGCTGCTCTGTGCCTCCCATTTGGGGTTTGAATGAAACATTTGAGTAGGTGGTACAAACAAACAGCAAAGCAATGGCAGATTTTCTGTGGTTCTCGGTTCCTCCCTTTTGCAGCTATTTGCCCTCCATAATTTAAATGTTTATCCAGTTAATATAGCTTGAATTAAGGTTTCTGTAACAAGTATGATATGTTAATCCTCTGAGCAGAAGAGTAATAACTGAAACTGCCATCCCAGGTACCTTGACAGGGGACATGTAATCAGTTTGATAACTGTAATGCTCTCACTGCTACTATTTGCTGTGCTTTCTTTTGTTTCAGGGTCTATCATGATGTTTTCTCAAACTATAGGATATGTCTCATTTGCTTGAGAGTTTAATTTTCCCTGTCAGTGGCCCTTTTCTTCACTTTATTTGCACATCTATGGATTATTTTTCAAAAATCACTAAATGTATTTTCAAATACAAAGGAGAACAGGAGGGGAATTTAGAGGGATAGGAAAGAGGAAAGGGAGGTGACAAATGAATGCATTGGTATCTGTGGCCAAAATAATAGATTTGGACTAGCACATTCAGCTTTTGCTGTAGAATTAGAAATCAGTTATCTTCTATAGTTACATTTCTTCATTTGGTCTTTTGCCCTGAGACTGTACCTTCTCTCCCTCAAATGGTAGTCCTTTCATATTTTTTAAGAAAAAGGATCATGAACTGTTTATGAATCTGATAAAAGCTATGAACATGAAAATTCTCATTATTTCAAAATATACAAGTACATATAAACACAAAATTGCATACAATTATGGAATTTATAAGCAGCCTAAAGTCCTCCCATAAATGCAGCATTCAGGACACCTGCTGTAAAAGTCATACTACTGTCACCTCAATAAATCAAGGGCTCCTCATGTCCCAGTCTTGTGTTGCGAAGAAACACAGTTCACCAAACAAAAGGAATGGAAAGTAATTCAAATTTTTACTAGTATGTTTTATAGAACTTTAAAGAACATTCAAAACCTTTCATCCCCAGCCATACTTCTTAAGTCTCTGTTCTCTTCACTGTATGTCCCACTCTGGACGCTCCATCAAATTTCTTTGCACCCTTAAGGCTTAATTCCCCACGCAGCTGACTCGACAGTCAGCCTTGGGGGGCGTCTCTTCTCCTGTCTTCTCTCACCAGCCTCCCATTCACATGCTCCACTTTTGACTCGATTCTTTTTTTTTCTCCCTTCTTAGACAAGTAAACCTTTGCCCTTTTCAATGCAAATTCCCCATTTTCGCTTCCTCAGGTCTTCACCTGAAAACCTCAGATGGCACAGAACTACCCAGGAGTTAGAACAAAGAGAAAGCAGGAAATATGCTCAGAATTTCCCGTAGAGATCTGTGTGTGGTGGGGGAGGAGAGAGGGTACAGAGGAAAGCCTGCGACCACCCACATGTTTACATCATTCCCTCATAAGATTAATTTTCAGTAATTACGTCTGATTTCAGCATTGGAAGGCCAGATGGTGATTGATAATTTCATTTTTTCTTTCTTATTCACATTCTGCTATATCTTCATCATTCTCTTCCTGTAGGAAGGTAGAGACTGGAAAGCAGTGACTGATTGTAGGAATTTGCCAAAATTATACAGCCAAAGGACTGTCCCTTTCAAAGTAATCAGCCACCTCGTAAGCTGCCTCCTTCTTTCAGCAGGATGGGGGCATCTCTTTCAGAGCCTGACACACAATTCTTCGGCATATTGTCAGTTGGATCAGATCATTGC